TCTCTTTCTTTACTATGTTTTGACTAAAGAATTTCTCCCTGCATGTTTTCAATATAAGGGCGGGGGAGGATTAATAAATTCTTTATTGTTAATAACTTCTTATGCCCAAAGAAAACCCAAGAATTCAAAAGTATTAGCTCAGAGTTCTTAGCCTAACAAAAACTTTCCCCCACTTCTACCCTCTTTGTCTCCAATTGTAAATTCCCCTCTCAAAGATTTTTAATGCTTCACTCAAAATATGAGGCAAAGAAAAGCTTTATTACTGCTGGTACTTTCCTATTGGCAAATTCAACCGTAGTCTTCCTTAATTCTGGTTCTTCCTTTGAATAATAGGAATAATCCTGTTTGTTCATTACCAATTCAATTCATCAAGGGGAAATGCTGCACTGAAGATAGTGAATGATGATAAAGCCATTTATTGGCATTAGCCAGGATTATCGTGTGCCTGGGACACAATTACTGTTGCCTGGGCTTTGCTGGTGACATCTGGAGGCAGAGTCCTGACAGTGCTGGCCCCAAGCAGCTAAGCAGGTGGATTTGTTGTTCTTTCTTTACAATCTCAGGAGGCTGATGGAAAGAAAAACCAAAGAATTTGGATTTGGATGTCTTTTAAGACCTCCCTGCTGGAAATTAAGGAATTAATGGAACTGCTTGGTTTTTGTCCCAGTAAACTTGAACAGGCATGCTGAGTGTCCTGAATAGTAAATAATACATTCTGGCTAAATGCTTTGTCCAAAGCAGGCCAACGTTTTTCAATCATCCTGCCCCTGGACGGCAGTTCTGTCGAGTGTGGACCCAGTCCTGGTCTGGGGTAGCCCCAGCTATGTTCTCCTTCTACTTTTCTGTGGTTCTTCCACATTCACATGTCTCATCTCCCCCAGAGCGAGGGCAGACTCTGGGGATGGTTAGCGTGGAGGGAGCTGACACTGGGGACCGGGCCACACACTAGGACCTCTTTCTACTTCTCCGGGCCCCTCCTCATGTGACCAAGTTATAGCACTGTTCATAATTGCAAATTGGAAACAACCTAAATGCCCACCAATAGGAGACTGTTAAATGATTCAACGTCTCTCTGCTGCAGGGATGGGAAGGTCATCGAGATGCCTTGCTAATGGAAGAAGCAAGGTTCAGAAGGTGTAGCAGGTGTGTTGATAAAGGGGACAGGACAAAATATATATGCTCATATCTGCTTGGTAAAGAATAAAAAGAATAAAATGCTTCTGGAAGGGTACATAAGAAACAAGTAATGGGGTCACTTGTGATGAGAAAGATGGTGGCCAGGGGACAGGGCTAGAGGAAGACTTCCACCATATTCCCTTTTATACTTTTGGATTTTTAGCTATTCATATTCATTCATATTTATTACTTATTCAGAAACATAAACCCAAAGCCCCAAGTATCCCGTTTTTTTAATGTTTTTTCTTTAAGTATACAACCTCCCCCTTTTTTTCATTAAACTTAGATTTCTTCTCAAATTGTATATGTGAGGGTCACCTGCGTGGCTCAGTCGGTTAAGCATCCAACTTCGGCTCAGGTCATGATCTCACAGTTTGTAGATTCAAGCCCCTGTGCTGCCAGCTCAGAGCCTGGAGCCTGCTTTGGATTATGTGTGTGTCTCTCTCTCAAAAATAAATAAACATTAAAAAACAAATTTTTAATTATATATCTGAAAGGTAACATATGCTGTGGCTTAAAAACAAAACAGAACAAAAATCCGACAGTCCCTAAGGGAATACAGTAAAAATGAAGTCTCTTTCCTGTTCCTGAACTGCAGCCTCCCCTCCTACCATCCCAAGACAGCTCCTCCTGCTGGTTTCTTAATATTTTTTTTTCCTTTCAGTTTTATTGAGATATGACTGGCACTCAGCATTGTAGAAGTTTATGATGTACAGGGGTACCTGGGTGGCTCATTCGGTTAAGGGTCTGACAGGATCTTGCACAATGAATTCAAGCCCAGCATCGGCTCTCTGCTGTCAGCACAGAGCCCTCTGCGGAAACTCTGTCCCCCTCTCTCTCATTGCCCCTCCCCCCCAAATGAATAAACATTAAAAAAAAAAAAAGAAAAGAAACTATTTTAAAAAAAAATTTTATGTTTATTTACTTCTGAGACAGAGACAGAGCATGAGTGGGGGAGGGGCAGAGAGAATCAGAAGCAGGCTCCAGGCTCCGAGCTGTCAACACAGAGCCCGACACGGGGCTTGAACTCACAAACCGTGAGATCATGACCTGAGCCGAAGTTCGTCGCTCAACCGACTGAGCCACCCAGGCTTCCCGAAAAGAAACTATTTTAAAAAAAGAAGAAGAAGTTTATGATGTATAGCATAATGACCTGACTTACCTAGATTGTGTGTAGTTACCACAATAAGTGAGTCAATATCCATTGTCTCATACACACACACACACACACACACACACACAAATGATTTTTCTCCTTGTGCTGAGAACTTTGAGGATCTACTGTCTTGGTTTCTTTGAATTCCTCCTGCTCCCCCTCCCTCCGCTGGGTGCTTGCTGATCCTGAGCTCAGAGCAGCCTCTTTTGTTTGTCCTACCAAAGCCCTATCTGAAAATACGAGTCTAATTTTAGTGGTGAGGGCTTTCGTGGGTGTTTTGGGAGACACGATACAGGGCGGAAACAGGTCTTGACTCAAATGACAGCTTACAGAGCCTTGTTCCCTGTCGTGTGGTCCTCGTGCTCCCCCTTAATCGGTTCCTCACCCTGCAGTTAACGTGCCCGGCTCCTCTGTGGTTTTGAAATCTGGCTCTAATTTGGTCTTCAGAAGTTGAGAACAGATGACAGTTCATAATCAGGGACTGTGTTTTCTGCACCTGCACCCGGGTGAAGTGCTTCTCATGGTGTTAGGGAAATGGTCACGGAGTGTCTAAAAGAACCAGGCCCTTTGGAAGTCCATGTACTGGGAAATAGCTCAGGAATATTTTTGCAAATTCAAGGACCTGCATCCTCTAGCCCTGGCCAGGCCGGGAAAGGCCCAGGTGACGTGGGGCCTGACTTGGAACAGCTTGAGGGCTGCAGGCTTTCAGGGCCTGGGACCTTGGTTGGCTAGAGTGTGGCTCTGTGCCACATTGTGTAACTGAATCAAAATCAGACACCATTTAGAAGAGCACAATAAGGGGCACCTGGGTGGCTCAGTCCATTAAGTCTGCTCAGGTCACGATCTCACCATTGATGGGGTTGAGCCCCGTGTCGGGCTCTGTGCAGAAACCTCAGAGCCTAGAGCCTGCTTCAGATTCTGTGTTTCCCTCTCTCTCTGCCCCTCCCCTGCTTGCACTCTGTCTCTCTCTCAAAAATAATTAAACATTAAAAAATTTAAAAAAAAAAAGGGGGGGTACAACACAGTAAGTTTTAAGTGTGGCCTGGTATTTGCAAGCCAGTCCTGCCTCTGTCCTCCTAGGACAGTATGGGTTTTAGCCCACAGGCTTCTGGGGTATGTGGACAAGCAGGAGCCCGTGTTGTAGAATTTAGGGAGTCCAAGGGATTCCTGGAACTGGAATAAAAGATAAAGTTATACCGGCAGAGCTGACCATGTGGCAAAAATAGTGTATAGACAGATATCTAAAGACAGATGGCCTGCCTTTCAGAGGAAAGAAGTGGAATAGTGTGAACAGAAGTGACAATAAAAACACAAATCACTTAGGGACTAATCAGAGCAATAATTCCCGTCACCTAAAGCATTCCGATTGCCAAGAAACCCAATGATAGAAAATGAAGAGGAAGCCAGAGATTTTTCCCAGGTGACACAGATGCGAAGCTGGCAAAGACACTGTCCCTAGCTTGGGTCACCATGGCCTGTCATGAGGGTTCATTGAGGTGGCTCACAGCTACATGGTTGCTGGGGTGGAGAGGCAGTGAGTCCTTCAGCATGAACAGTGTGTCCCCTGCTGGCCACATTGGACCTTGGCCTCTCATTTGCACAAGAATAACAGCAATGACCTCCTCAATATGGTCTCACCTCCCTGAATGCTGGGAACACATAGTTAGGAAGGGAAGCTCAGACCCGTGGTGCGTGTAGCTGGGCCAGCCCCAGGCATATCTAACTTGGCTTCTACTGTGTTTTATGAGATCAGGGATTTCACCTACAAATTGCAGGCCAGATTTCCACTTCTCTGTACACCTGGGAAGACCTAGCAGCATGGGCCATCATTCCCACATGGAAGTAGACGGTGGGGTCCCCACCCCTGTTCACTCATGGCTGGGCACACTGCCCTTACCCCTCCTCCCCAAGCTTCTCACTTCCCCATGCACAATCCATCCTCTGTGCCATTCATCCTGGCTTTTTTTTTTTTAAGTTTATTTATTTTGAGAAAGAGAAGAGAGAGAAAGTGCGCAAGCATGAGCAGGGGAGGGGCAGAGAGAGAGAATCCCAAGCAGGCTCCACACTGCCAGCACAGAGCCTCAAGTGGGGGTTGAACTTACGGACCGAGAGATCGTGACCCAAGCCAAAATCAAGAGTTAGATGCCCAACTGACTGAACCACCCAGGTGCCCCTATCCTGCCATTTTTGAAGACATCCTCTCTACACCCAGCATCTGGGGACATTTGGGTTTGCACTGCTATTCCCACCCTACCACACTTCCCACCCACCTTGGCGGGCTACATAGGAAGGATCCCAAGACCAATCTTCGTGTGATCCAGGGTCAAGGATGCAAATAGCAGGACTCCTCGGTATATGGAATCCAGCTTTCACATTTGGAAGCAAATGGGAAAAGGCTCAGGGCCAGGCCCCAGGTCCACCCACTGGATAGTCCAAGAGGGCAAGGAAGCCAATCAGCAGAGCCATGTGAGACTGGGGGACAGAGAACATGGCCTGGGCAGTTGGCACGTCCTTGGTTCTCCGGTGACTAGATGGTGGGTGAAGAGCCCCCAGGAGGAGCCCTGCGCCTGGTTCTTCTGTGAGTGATGGTGGCCTCGGGCCAGGCCATCAGAAAGTCCTGAGGGAGGTTTCATGGCTGTCCGGTAACTCTGGGCTTGGTGTCTTCCAGGGAAATTGAAAGAATGGAGCCTCATCTTGTACGGCACAGCGGAGCACCCATACAACACTTTCATTTCCCATCAGTCTCGCTCTCGGATGCTGGAGCTTTCGACCCCGGAGCTGGAGCCACCCAAGGCCGCTCTGTCACCGCCCCAGGCCGAGGTTCCTGAGGACGAAGAAGACTACACAGGTAATGAACCCAAAGCCGAGGGAGATGGCAAACCTCAGCGAGTTTTGGTTTTCCACTGTTGGCTCTTAAAACGTGGGGCTATACCTGGCAAAGGCGGGGATTGTGATGGTAGGTCTTCCTCCCTTCCTGGAAGTTGTAATAATGATGGCAATTTACACCCACACAGCTCCTTCCACCCAGGGCTCTCCTAATATCTTACAGACCAGTAAGTATGCTTCGAACCAGTAAGTATTCTCCAACCTTACAAGGCTGGGAAACAGAAGGTTCTATATGCCCAACCAGAACTGGGACTTGCCTCCTGGTTAATGAGCCCCCTCCTGGGGCACCCACTTATTTCAGAGTCCCACGTCTCATGCCTCAACCTCCTGACCCTCTCAAATCCATCCACTTTCTGTCCTTATGGCCAGAATGTGGGAAGGACGAGGGTCGAAATGGGCCCAGAAAGGTTGGGTTGAATGAGCATAGCCAGATAGCCAGGAGAGGAACTTACAGTGCTGGTCTTGACTGGCCTTGAGAGCTGGGATGAAGACTCCAGGAGAGAGTCTTAGCTCTCAATGTCAGTAGATAACTGATGCCACTGGAAGGAACTTAAGAATCTCACAGGAGAGGCACCTGGGTGGCTCCGTCGGTTGAGCATCCGACTCTTGATCTTAGCTCAGGTCTTGATCTCAGGGTCATGAGTTCAAGCCATGCATTGGTGTGGAGCCTACTTAAACAACAACAACAAAAAAATCTCACAGAAAGTAAAGATGCCTCGTGCAAATGCTTCTTCTCCAGCCATACCATTGCTGGGAGGTAGGAGGTGCCCCTGGCTCTGGACATCCAGCGCCCGCATGGAGGCAGCAGCCTGGAGAGGGCTTTCGGCATATCTAGCCTCTGGGCTGGGCGCAGTCATGATTAGCATATTAGGTAGAAAGCTGTTCCTTTCCCTCTACACCAACCCACAGTGATTTGTGAGAAGCTGAGTGTTTCTGGTTGGGCATATTTTGCTTAGCTAAATATTACAGCTGTTTGATAAATGATGGGTGATATCTAAGGATATTGATGTTTTGAATTATCTAATAGCTTCTGAAAAAAGAAAAGTAACAAAATGGAGAATTCCACTGATACATATCAAGCATAAATTACGGTTGATTCCATTTTAAATTTCTTCTACCATTCCTTTAAAATGGAGCATTGAATTATGTATGGATTAATCTGCTCTGTTTCCACCTGCGATTTATAAATGGTGGCAAGATTCAGTAATTATTAATAAAGGACTGATTTTTTTTTTCCTTAAAATCTGCTACTGATTCTACCCTTACACTGTCCTGGAATCTCACAATATGACTGCCCTGTAGCCCAAGTCACTTAGTCTTTCCCAAGTATGGCCTAGATGGATAGAGGATGTCTCTGTGGGAATGGAAAGTGTTCCTGACTCTCGGGGAAGGTCCCTACAATCTTGGGGCAAGTGGGATGGGCAGGCCAGTAACAGCAGGTAGAGACAGAGATGGGGAGAGAGCAAGAGTGGGGTGATGTGGAGGGCAATGGGAGAGGAGGGGAAAAGGAGGAGGAGGAGCGGGGGAGGAGGAAGCAGCCATGTTAGATTCCATAGTCAAGGGGCGCCTGGGTGGCTCAGTGGGTTAAGTGTCTGACTCTCAGCTTCAGCTTAGATCATGATCTCACAATTTCATGATTTCAAGCCCCTCATTGGGCTGTGTGCTCACAGTGCAGAGTCTGCTTGGGATTCTCTCTGTCTCTCCCTCTCTCTCTACCCCTCCCCCACTCATGTTGTCTCTGCCTGTCTCAAATAAATAAACTTAAAAAAGATCTTTTTTAATATATAAAAAATAAAAAAGATTCCACTTTCAAGGGCTTGTCCATGCCTCTTCCAGAAGCTCAGTCACAGATAAGCCTCAGGGCAGAAACTCAGGGTAAGAGACAGGGTGGAGGGAAGGGTGATTTTGAGGTAGGCCCATGATTATTATCAGCTTTCTGCAGTTTTAGCACAGAGGTGCAGCAGGTTGAAGCAGGGATTTTCCGGGGTGGTCATACTAGGAAGAAGGTTCTTAAGAATTTGGAGAACTGGCATGGGCAGAGGTGCACAGGGGTGATGAGTGCAGCCTGGTGGTACTCCACCTGGGCCCTGTGCACCAGAGAGCAGTTACCATGTCAGGAAGGGGTAGAGAGGTCTGATGGAACAGTGGTCCCAGGGGTCAGCAGCAGGGGGCACAGGACAGCACTGCGTCCAAGGTAGTGGTGGAGTCTGGGGTCCCCAAAGTAAAAGAGTATGTGGAAATCCAACTTAGAGAGGAGGGCTTGGAGATCGGGAGGCTGGTGAGTCCAGCAGGAAGTGGGGGGCAGTAGCCACATGGGCTGGGTGAGGTACCAGGGAAACTGGGGTCGATGGCCTACTGCTGGGACAGAGCCGCCTGGTGGCTGAGGAGCAGTGGGAGGTCCCTGGAGAGCAAGCACCAGACATGGCAGAGAGCAAGGCTGCCCCAGGGACCCACCTAGGATGCTTGGTTGAAGAGCAGGCCCAGGGCTGGGCCCCACCTCAGAGGTGGATTCAGCAGGTCTGGGGATGCTCAGTGGCTGTCCTGGGTGACTCCAGGTAGTGTGATGATGATGGCAGGACATAGGGTGGTGCTCAGGCTGCTATGAGAGAGTGGCCTCCAGGGAAGGACAGAATGTCATGAGGATGAAGGGAAGCTAAGGTCAGTGCAGGACAGTGTGGTCAGCCCCACGGGACTGAGGGAAGCCAAGAGCCCATGCAGCCTTTGCCTGGATGCATTCCAGGACAGCTCAACAGGCACAGGGGAATTGATTCGCAGGACACGTGGCATGCCCAGTGCAGGACATTGTCAGGTCATGGACTTTGGGCACATTAGCACTCACCCAGCAGAATACAGCCATCAGGGAAGAGATCAGACCTGCAGTGAAAGTGGTCTGTTATTCTCTTCCGTACCTCCCGTCTGCAGTCAGCCACCTTTGTCCCTGCCACTCCACTTCATGTCTGCTGGTGTGCCAGTGACATGCCAGCACACTCTTCCTGGACAGCATGAACAGCAGGGGAAAGATCGTGATACTTAGGCAGTCCTAAGTATCTAAGCGTCTTCAGAAACTGGTCTAAGCGTCTTATGACAAAGGCCATTGAGAATTCCCAAGTTGCTTTCTAACATTTGTTTGTGGGGATTTTTTTAAGTTAATTTATTTATTTTGAGAGAGAGAGAGAGAGAGAGAGAGAGAGAGAGAGAGAGAAGAAGAGAGAGAGAGAGAGAGAGAGAGAGAGCACTTGCAAGCATACAAGCAGGGGAGAGGCAGGGGCGGGGTGGGGGGGAGAGAGAGAATACCAAGCAGGCTCTGCAGATGCTTACCCAACTGAGCCACCCAGGTGCCCCTGTTTGTGGGTTGTTGTTTTTTTAATCCTGGATTTTCTCCACAAAAGATTTAAGGTAGAGATTTCAAATAAGCCTGTGTCATTCTAACACCCAGTAGGTGGGAGTTGGCAGACTGTCAGCATATGAATCACACTCCCCCTTGTATCTGGAACCTTGGGAAATGACACAGGATGGCAGTGGGTCTTTGAAGAATTTTCATGCTAATTGAGGAAAGAGGAAAAACAAATACAAATGGCAACAAAAATAACATATGCTTACCCAGAGAATGTGTTACAGCTGTACCAGAAAACACACACACACACACACACACACACACACACACACACAAAATCTTAGGAGTGATGGAGTAAGCAGGATAAGTGGTAAATCTACCAACCAGGTAGATTTAATCCAAGAACAATTCATCGAGAGGCGAATTTTGACATTGGGCTTTTGGAGACAACTCAAGTAGACAGCTGTAGGAGAGGTGCTTACAGACGCTCATCTAAGCGTCCTGCCTTGGACAATATCTTACCACACTCTTCACTGGGGCTGGACACGGCTGGTTAGCCAGATGCCCTGATGGGGTTTTGCTGTTACTGTTAGGGGGACCCCAGCCTTGTGTGGAGCTCCCTTGGGGTTATTAACTAACTTCTCCACCACAAAGAGGCCCCAGGAGGGAGGAGGAAGGTGAAGTCCACATGCCATGAACCAGGCCTTCTCCCAAGGCTGTCCCTCTCTTGGTACGTCCTAGACTGTTCTGTTTGTGGATGGTGAGGTTACCTGCACTTTCCCAATTTCCACCCATATTTCTTTCATCCATTCTCCTACCCTTCAGCTTCTCAGCAAATATTTAGTTGGCACCTGCCCTATGCCAGACACCTTTCTAGGTGCTGGGAATATAGCAATAAACACCCTAGTCCAGATCCAGCCTCTTGAAGCTTCTGTGTCCCGTGCTGGGAGAGAGTAGGGAAATTGGTCTGTCTCTTCCCTGTCCCCCCCCCAAACCTCCTTAAGATTAAAGAAACTGTTTACTTTATCAGGTAAGACAGACCTCCTGCCTCCATTGGCCTTGGGGAGAAACCACTACAGAAGGCAGATGGTCCTCATGGTGGTGTATCCTGAGGCCCCCACGACTCGGGCTGGGTGGAAGGTCAGAGCCCAGTGGCCAAACTCATAGGTGTCTTCTGCGCAGTGGCTAATTGAAAAACAATGTGCCAGGAAGCAAGGATTTGCTTGGAAATCTGAAAATGGCCCGGAATGAGGTGGACAAGAATCAAATCAAATGAGAACTGACTGCAAAATAGCCTGACAGTCTGGAGCTGGGGAAGGGGGCGGGGTGAGGGTAGCCTCCATGATAAGCTTTGTGCATGTCAGGCCGAGCACTAGAACTCTACCCGCAGCAGAGCCCTCCCCAGCCCAGACCAGTGTATTCCCAGGGACAAGCTCAGCTTTGAAAGGGGTTCACAGTGGGACCCACAATGAAAACTTTGGAAATATCAACAACAGTAAACCTTCAGGGAGGGAAGCAAAATAAACCGGGTCTAACACTAGGAAGGTCCGCAGGCCCTTTAAGGACGAATGAAGAGGGCTTTGTGTACCTCAGCAAAGACCCATTGTGGGCAACAGAGAATGGGGACTTTTGTCTGTGCCTGCATCCCCATGAAATGCTGGTGGCCAGCAAATCACCTCTTCTTTGCTTCTGAACTCACTCCCCACCCCTTCCAACAACTCAAACCTTACAGAAGGCTTTTTTCTTCTAAAGACTCTAAAGCCTTTGTAATACCCCACTGGGCACCTCCCCACATGGGGCAGTTTTCTGGAACCATTGCCCAGAGTAGGAGGGTGAGGGACGAGGCGGGCAGGCGGTCCCACCATAGTGCTGGTCTTCAGCATGATGTGGTCATGTCCTTCAGGCCAGGCGAAGGGGACATCTGTGGACCTGCCCCACCCCGGCCTGAGGGCACTAGACATTTCTAACTGGGCTCATCTGTGTGGCCCACCTGCAGGGCAGACCACCTGCAAGAGTGAGGCTTGCTAGAGTCCACTGAGCTCCCTACATTTCTCTCCAACACTTTTCCAACAACACACAGGCCCCCAGAGTCAGAATTTGGGGATGGCAGGGGACTTGGAGGAGAAGGAGGGAAGCAAAAAGGTTTGCAGAGAAAGGCCCAGCCCAACCCATACCCACCCAGGGGCAGCCCCACCCAGACCAGCTCCACCCAGGGACAGCCCCACCCAGCTCAGCCCCGCCCAGGAACAGCCCAGCCCAGCTCAGCCCCGCCCCGGGACAGCCCCACACAGCGGTCCTGGGCTTGCAGATCTATCCTATTCCCACCAGTGCATGTAGTGAATCGTCTCTCCCATCCTTTCCATGATCCTCACCGCTTGGCAGCAGTTTCCCTGATGCCTTTGATGCCCCATACTGCCTTGCTTTGTCCTTCACGTCAGGAATCTAGAGAGATGGCTGGTGCCAGCATCATGACCCTGTTGCAGAGGAATGCCCCGAAGAAGGCACCACCAGCCTCTCTCCTGGTATCTCACAGTGCTCGTCTTTTTGTGGGTCTGGGTCCCCACCTACTGCTGGCTGTTTTCCTTCTCAGGCTGCCCCATTTGAGAGCTAGGCTCAGCTCTCAGCCGTAGCCAGATTGCCATGGGGTGGGCACTCTGTCCAGCTGAGGTCCTGCCGGCCAGCCCCAGCAGATCCACCACTCTCTAGGGAAGCTAATCCCGACCCACCTAGGCTGTGACAACCTGACTCAGGGTCTTAGGGGACTGCATTTGGTTGACAAAGCATCTCTCTGGGTGAAAGGAAATGCTTATGTCTTTAAGGTGTGTGCCATCCGGAGTGTGGTGACAAAGGCTGTGATGGCCCCAATGCAGACCAGTGCTTGAACTGTGTCCACTTCAGCCTGGGGAGTGCCAAGACCAGCAGGTAATGGGCTGGGACTTCTGATCACATGTCCTGGAGTTCCTCGACATACCGCTAAGGTGACCTGATTCAAGCCGTCTCAGCCCCCGGCAGCCTAGTACCCTACTTATGAATCAATGTAAAACCCCAAAAAGGAAATCACATTGAGGTTTACTGCTTTGGAATTTCGTACGTATTAGTAACTTCTGGTCCTCATCACAAAGTAATTCATGAAATCAGAAGCTGTGTCATTGTGGTATCTGTGCTTATAAACCATTTTGTACCCATTTTGTTAAACAAAGATTGGTCAGACTGAGCATCCCAAGACTGACAACTTGGGAACTATAGACAAATGCCATGTTAGAGGCCAGCACTGTTCTGAAAGTCAGCCCTGTGGGCCGTGCCTGGAGAGCTCCCAGCCCCAGGTGTCCAGTCAGCGGTGCAACCACACAAGGTGGGACACATGGCCACCAGGGGCCCCGGCAATGGTGCAGCCATGCAGGGCTGCGGGCGTGTCTCTCCTGGTGTGCTTGAGCTCCCAGACACAGCCACACGTTCCCTGCACAGTACACAGGCAGCCAGCCTGATGCCTTTATGCATTGTCCAGTGAGTCTAACTCTCGAAGGGCACCATCGGTGACATTCTGGTAGAGCTCAAAATTCCAAAAGTCGAATACCATCATCCAGGTGCCACTGAGGCTTTGAAACAAAGGATTCCTGGGTTCTTGTCCAAGTCCTGGATCCTCTCCTGGGTACTTAGGAATCTCTCAGCTGTGTTCACCAGGATGATGGGCATCAATGGTTTAACCTTCACCCCCAGGCCTTGGCTCCCTGAGAGTTTTGCTAAGCTGGGGGTGCAGAGGGGTGGCTGGGATTTGCTCCCCAGCTAGCTATCCTGCCTCAGCAGGACCTGGCGGTGCTGCAGGCTCCAAGGGCCATGCGGGGCTGAGTTGCAAAGGCCCTCTGTGGCTTCTGCTCCCACAGGAAATGCGTGAACACGTGCCCTCCAGGCTACTTTGGGGACACAGCAGCGAGACGCTGTCGCCGGTGCTACAAGGGGTGTGAGACCTGCTCGGGCAGGAGCCCAACCCAGTGCCTGTCCTGCCGCCGTGGGTTCTATCACCATCAGGAGATGAACACCTGTGTGACGTTCTGTCCTGCTGGATTTTATGCCGATGAAAGTAAGTGCATGTCTGTGTGCGTAGAAGTGATGAGTCAGTCCCTCTCCCCCTCCCCTCACCCCCGCTCAGGGCTGGGGTCCCTTCTCCTGGGAGAATTTTCCCAGGGAATCCAGCACCAGCTTATGGACTGGGTAGTCAAAATTGGGGGAAAGCCCCTCCTCGGAAGAACTGCTGAGCTGAAATCAGGATTCAAGTTTGGGCAGAAGGTTTTCAGTCCTCCAAAAACCCAGAGGAGCCTACTGGCCAGTGTTAATTGGGCCCAGAAGAAACGGGTTAGTCTTGGTGGCCCATTTTACAGGTAGTGACCACACCCCTAAGAGATGGGGGTGCTCTCCTGGTCTTGAGGATGGGGAAACAAAGCTGAGAGGTGGCAAAACGCTCACAGCTAGTAATGGCACAGGTGGAACTTGAACTCAGCAGTGAGTGGGGGTGCTCTCCTGGTCTTGCAGATGGGGGGGGGGGGATCTGGGGCTCGTGACCCATGCCAGTGTGTCACCAACTCACCTTGCCCCAGAAGAGACAAAAGACAGGGTCTGGGTTAAATTGATGGAGGATAGTCCTCAAGTTCAAAGAAGCTACTGTTTTGACATTGGCAATTTGCAGGTGGAAGCCTTCCCACAGAGGCCCTTGCCAGGCAGGGGTGTTCATTGATCCAGCCTGTGACGGCATTAGTGTTCCTCCTATGGAGAAGGAGCCAGGAAATCTTTAAAGACAAATAAAGCCATCGAATAACCAGAATCTCTTTAGAGGAAAAACAAATAGTCTTGCAAGATGTGTTTCACAGCCTTTACAAACACCTGCCCTGGGCTGCCAGCCAGACCTGCTTTCAGGGTGGAGTTTCCTTCATCCCCACCCTGCTTCCAAGACAAGAATCAGCCACCCTTACTGACCCAGCATCTCCCCTGAACACCTGCTGCTGCTGCGCGTGCACACGTGCATGCGTGCGTGCGTTTGTGTGTGTCTGAGTGAGTGTGTAATACCACGTGCGGGGCCCTGAGGAGGAGGCACAGAGGGCAGCAAGCAGCCCTTAGTGTCCAGGCACAACGCCAGGTGGCGTTGATGAGATGCCAGAGGGAAAGACCAGATAATAACTTAGGGAAAAGCACATGGGAGTCATGGAGACCCAGCGTTTCCCCAGGAGGTGGGATGGGCATCATAGATTTATTTCTTGGTGTACGTAACTGCCAAGTTTCAATAAAGTCCCCTGTGAAGGCACCAGCAGGGCTCCCAGGCCTCTTCAGGCTCCATCCTGTCACTTTCTTATATATATACATAGATAAAGATAGATATAGATGATATAGATAGAGACAGAGATAGAGATAGAGATAGAGATAGAGATAGAGATAGAGATAGATAAAGACTGGCACCTAATTAATCTCAAGCTTGGTCAGCCAGGAACTGGCTCTAGTCCTTGTTGAAATAAACAGAAGCAGACGATGTCTCCTCTGCCAAGGGCCCACTCCAAAGCCTCAGAATGGTGTAAGGACTTTAATTTACTCCAGAAAGGAGAGGTGAGAGGCCTCTGATCCCACACCTGGGCCTGCCCTGGCTATTTTATTACTCCATCATCCCTCCTGGAAGCTGACACCGGTGACGAGCTATGCCAGCAACCCTGCTTTGAAATGCCAGAGTCCTCTTTGCCCAGATTCGATTCACATCTATTTTTCTCCTTCTCTTCTCCTCATTTTTCTCCAGGTCAGAAAAATTGCCTTAAATGCCACCCAAGCTGTAGGAAGTGTGTTGATGAACCAGAGAAATGTACTGTCTGTAAAGAAGGATTCAGGTAAAACCCTCCCTTCAAACCTGAAGAATGGCAAAGAGTTTATGCTGTTTTTCGTTTTCTTGGTTTACCAAGTTTGGGCAACTTTTTCCGAAAAGCAGAGGCCCAAAGCCTTTCAGGGTGAAGATTCTGAGTCTGTAGAAATCAGAATTCCACTTGGAGATTGATGTTTAAAATAGGAAGTTAGAAGACAGGCAAGGCAAAATCTCTATCCTTTATGCTGCACTGGGGAACTGATAAACACAGGAATCGATGCTACCGTAAAAAGCAGGGCTGGCTGCTGGAAAGGTGAGATTCTGACAGAGCTCCCGTTTTTAGGCACCAGTAACCCCCCCCCCCCCCCCCCCCCCCGTGTCCCTCCTGTCCACGTGAGGGGAGGTGGGGCATTGGGAAGCCCAGCCTCCCTCCTCTCCGTCCTCTGCCTTCTCTCTCTTCTTTTCCAGCTCAGATACCTCCTTCCAGCTCTGGGAGCTTGCTGCCTGGGAATGCTCTTTAGATTCCTGGTGTTCCCTGTCCCACCAAGCTCAGTACACATCTGCTTTAAAAACCTTTTACTGGGTTAAGGATTTTTATTAGAATACTTGGGAATGTTTGTGTAGCCCATTTAATGCAACTAAATTGCATTTAATGCAAAAGCAAATATATATTACCTGTTCCTCTAAGTTACCGTTTAGAGCTTAGGAAACGTTCTATTCGAAACTACCTTCTCTGAACGTTGCCATAGTCCAGGGACTAGAGCCAGGGTCTACATGTTAAGGAAGAAATGGAAGAGTCAGTGAGAGCAGCGCTCCCCGCCCCCCGCACCCCCGCTGCAGTGTGAGCAAGGAAATTCCCAGGATTCTTGTTAAAATGCAGATCCTGGGGGTTCCTGGGTGGCTCAACCAGTTAAGCATCCCACCCTTGATTTCAGCTCAGGTCGTGATCTCACAGTTTGTGACATCGAGCCCTGCATTGGACTCTGGGCCAACAGCTCAGAGCCCGCTTGGGACTCTGTCTCCCTCTCTGCCCCTCCTCCCCAACCCTCTCTCTCACAACTAAATAAAAGCATTTTTTTAAAAAATGCAGACCCTGGTCCAGCAGCTCTGGGCAGGCTCCCAAATGATGAGATGCTGCTGGTCCAGGTGAGAACGGCCCGTTCATGGTGAGGTACCAGAGGGTCTGCAGCCCCCCTACCCCACCCCAGCCTCCCTTCCACCCAGTTCCAGCCAGGGCTGGAGTTCACCAGTAGAGGTGGAATGCCTTTGGAGTAGGTTGTGATGAAAACCTGTAACAAGCGCTGTTCCAGGTGTTTTCACCAATATTGCCTCATTTAAATCCTCACAGCAATCTGTGACCGTGATATTACTGCTCCCATTTACTCACTGGGGAGAGAAACTGTTTCCCCAGGGAGCGTGATGTCGCTGCTTTCATGAGGTTCCCCTGAGCCCGCCCTTCTCTGCCAGCTCAGAGAGAAGAAGATCAGGAGAGAAGAGGGCCCACCGCCCAAACACCCAGGAGTCTGGGAAAAGAAAAGGAAGCAGGACCCATCAGAGTCACACATCACGCCTGCGGTCATTTAAACCCATTAGGTGGACAAGGCAGGATCAACAGTTAAAGGATGATGTGGTCAAGGAAGTAGGTCCCCAAGGGGAAAGGAGGCATTGAGCTGATGGCCACAGCAGGTGGCCTGGGACGGGCAGCTGTGATGGCACCTTTCACCTGGGCTCCCAAACCCCAGTCTGGTGACTTCAGGTGTCGGGAGCAGGGGGAGGCTCTGTGGTTCCAACTCACTGTAGCCTGTTTCCCACCCCGGAAGCACCGGTGAGTCCCAGGGAGCTGGTTCCTGTGTCGTGTGGGTCCAGTGGGAGAAAGGATGTCAGCTGTTCAGGTCAGGAATAGTGTCACAGACAGAAAATGCCTGTCAGGCAGAAGCCACACAGCCAGACGCAGCGGTTCCAGCCACCACAAGCATTCAGAGAGACACAGAAACTCGGAAAACATCGTCAGCCATAATCCACAGAAAGCTTCCTTTTATTGCCCAATATCCTTTTAAGCTGTGGCTTCAAATCATCGCTGTCAGGTTAAAGCAGTGAGAGCAGCCGAGCCGCTGACGCGCAGCCATCCATCTCTTTAGGGGGATAAATGCAGGAAGGGTTCGAGGGGGAACATCAGTTATCGAAGACTTGATTTAACTGCCAGTCTCGGTGGCCCCGGAGCCATGATGAGGAGGAGCCCTGGGCGGGCAGCCACCATCGATGAGAAGAGGCTCTCGGACCCACCGACCTCTCCCCACTAAACGCAGGATTCTCTGGATCTTGCAGACACACTTTCCGTGTGTCTAGTGGCAGACAGCTTACAACATGTGCCTCCAACGCTGTAATCTTGCACGCGGAAGCAATCACCGTAGCAGACACACCCCTGTGTGCCAGATACCATTGCAGTGATTCACTAGTAGTTGCTCACTGAGTCCTCAAAACAACCTTACAATGCGGGAGCCGTGATTGTCCCAGCGGACAGGAAAGGAGACAGGTGCAGAGAGGTTAGCCGGCTGGCCTGGGACCAGGGTTGCACAGCTAGGAAGTGCCAGAGGCAGGATCGTGGAGTGGGCAGTCCAGCCCCAGAGACCACTCTAGAATCCACACACTCGGCTGCATGGGCAAGAGAGGTGAGGGCAGGCGCCCACCAGGTGAGACAGGAAGGCAGGAACCACGTCAGGCAGGGCATGTGAGGCTCCAGGAGTGAATTTTATTTCAAGGTCATTGTGAAGCACCGAAGGTTTCAAGCAAGGCAGAGGCAGCAGTGGGTCCAGCTTTTGGGATCTGTCCTGCCACTGCCACCCCAGCTCACACATCATAAATGCTAACACTTTGCCGAAGGCTTGGGCCAGCCAGCCTGCCACCAGGGGTAACCTACACGTGCTCCATTTCTCCTCTTGAGGTTTGGTTTCGAGTTTGATTAATGTCAATGAAAAGAAGTCATCACAGCCCAAGAGAGCCTGAGAACTTGGCCTCCTGCACCAGGACCAAGTCCACAGGGATCTGAGGATGAAGCCTGGGGCTGCTGGCCACCTGGGCACAGAGGCTTTGCTCCCAGGGCCAGGGCATCCCTTCCTGGGGCCCTCCAGCTGGCCGCAGGACTCCTTTTCCTGCTTTCATTAGCTTGGAACCTCAAGTGACACAAAGAGCAACTTCCTTTGCCTTTCATGAAAGGCGATTAAGGGCAAATCATAATTAAAAAAAAAAATTTTATGTTTATTTATTTTTGAGAGATAGAGAGGGAGCGTAAGCAGGGGAGGGGCAGAGAGAAGGAGACACAGAGTCCAAAGCAGGCTCCAGGCTCTGAGCTGTCAGCACAGAGCCCCATGTGGGGCTCGAACCCACAAACTGTGAGATCATGACCTGAACCAAAGGAC